CAGCTGCGCCGGAATTTTTGAATGACTTCGAGGGTGACGCAATCCGTCAGCCAGCCGCCGAGCCGCCTTTGGAGCTTTTCAGCTCTACTGACACTTCGGCGTCTTACGGAGGCGGCGTTCAAGTCCCGAAACCGTCGCTGAAGCTGAGGGATTATTTTCCGGAAACCTGGCTTTGGACAATCGAGCTCGTCGGAAGCGAAGGTTGGTTCATTTCCGGGGTCCTTTCTCGTACTGTACAGTACGGTAGTTGTGGAACTGAATTCATCCCTATTTACTTGAATACAGGTCGAACCTTTAAACCATAAACCCCACATGAAACCCATTAAAATTTTTTTTTGTCTATGCTCGAGATTTTTACATTTGACGCGCCACAGTAGTGTGCTATATATAATAACACTCGAGATCATGCAACATCTGCAAAATAATGGAACTGTTTACAGGTAGATTTTAATGTTTTTCCTGCTGTGATGGCCGTTTTTCCCTCGCCCTTTTTACATTTTCGTGATCTGCAATTTTTTTTCAATTCAAATGTTTGCCCAATATCAGGAATGCGACCTACAATCGTATCAAATCGACGATACAAATGGATCAGTGAAATTGGCCGTTATTCGTAACCACTATTCAATTTCAAAATTTAAATCGCTGTGTACGTGCGTTTCATAAACGTCGTTTGTTTTCGTTTGTGAGAGGTAATCTGAAAATATTGTAAATATTGCTGCGGACAACATTGCAATGCCGAACTAAACTGGATTAGGCTTAGCAACAATGTGCGACTAATTAATTTCGGTTGAGAAATGATGCCAATTTACTCTGATTTTTATTGCTTTGCCTTTTTTCAAGTGTGAATGCAAACGATGAATCTATATTTTAAAGTTATTGTTTTCTTCTTTTGGAATGATTTGAACTAAAACAATTGAACATGTTCAAATCCTCCGGAATATCCGGCGATTGCCAAGTCTCTGTTTGTTCAAATAATTTCTCCATCATTTTTCATTATTGATGTCGACGGGCATCTGCATTTTCTCGTATTCAATAAATCCAAAATGTTCAAATACTGTACTCCGAAAAATCCAGCGATTGCCAGGTCTCTGTTTGATTAAACATTATTTTTCATTATTGGTAGCAAAGGGCATCTGTATTCTATTCAATAAATCCTCAAATGCCCTCTATTCAATAAATCCAACTCCAAAATTATGTTAGTGTCACAGTCTCTTGCTTGACGGCAGAATATGTATGAAATGATTTTCAAATTTGAGAAATTCCTTCGAAACTTTTTGGAGTGTCATAAATTCGTGATGTATACTGTTAACTGTGATGTTCTTGAAAGAAATTCCCATCTTGTGAACCGACGCACTGGCTGCAAAAAAAAATGAGTTGAATCAAATGCCATACATCGTTTAAAATGCAGTATTTCCTTTCTGGATCCGCGTTACAACGCACTTTTATACCAGTGCAGTGTATGGCAATATATTCTAGAATCTAGATAATTTGAACCGCTGAACATGCTGTCACTCATCTCAACGAATAAATCTTAGTTATTCGTTTTTTTTCATATTACCATACAGGTTCTGTGGTGAAGGACGAGAAATTGCCTCACACGGTCACCGAATGGGTGGGCAGTGCGATTTGCTCCAACAAGAAGCACGGGTTCGGGATCTCAAACGTGGCCAGGATCAAAGCCTTCCAACCGTTTTTCATTCAATTCACGATGCCCTATTCCGTGAAGCGTGGGGAGAAGATGCCGTTGAAAGTGTCCATTTTCAATCACATGGACCACGACATGCCCGTAAGATTCCTCCTCTGCTGCATGTTCCCCCTACATTCCCTAGCTTGTTGTATAGCCGTTGAGTCCCTCGCTGTAGATACCGGATATATTTTGCTGCAATCCACTCGAAAAATTCCGAATAAAAAATAGGAATGTTTATTCCCATCTTCAAGTACGGCATCAACACAATAATGGAAGACCGCTCCGTATTAAATGGGGAGAAAAGCAATTCATCGCGCATCAGAACTTCAAGTTTTTATTGTTAACTCTCTGACAAAAGAGTTATCAGCCAGTACGTGTCACTATTTTTTTTTGCTCACAATGAACACTGCTGTAACTGTGCCGTACATTTCTTAGTTTAAAATTGAATCAAACCCTTTTCTTTTTCCTGGATGAAATTTACGATCCTTAATAAATTGGTTGAGGCCTCAAATAGGTCCAAGATTGTGAACTTGATTCAAGTTTCAAAAATAATTTTCTTGTTGTACCCCATACAATAATGACCGAAAAAGAACTAGTGTGATTCGTATGCCGAAATGCGAGTTAAACAACTTTTTTTTTAATCGGCTTCTCTCATATCTACGACAGACTCTAAAATTCGAGGAGTACGACTATATTGAAAACATTTTCCATGGTCCCTGCTTTATATTGTAGAAATGTGTAGGATTTCCAGCAATTTTTTATTCCAATCCGTTCACTTGAAACTTCAGGAGTTTTGTGGTCACAGAATACCGTAAAAAAGGAGAGTTTTTTCCATCTTCTCCGACGTGAGTTTTCCTTGGAAAATACCTTAATTGGGACTGTTCGTGAAGCTGAATTTTCGACTCTTCCAGATGACGAAAATAAGGTACAGGAATACAGTTATGGAATTCGGTTCTGACGATCTTCTAACGGAAAAGCAAACTGACGGATCTAAAATCAATTGAATTATGCAGAGCATGCGAAGCTTTTGATGAAAACCTGCATATAAATCCGCAGTTCTTTTCACAAAATTATTCATGCGTTCCACAGATTTCGGTCACGCTGGATGAATCAATGAACTTTGATGTTGCTGATGACGGCACGAATGTGTATCACTTGTGCTTGAAGAAATCCGATTCCGAAGTGGTCACTTTCAATTTGACCTTCGCTGCCTTGGGTGATATCAACGTCACGGTGGAAGCCGCGACTAATCCGACGTACGAGAAAGCATGCGGTCCGGAAACTATTCTGGCTTTCCAGTGAGTCTTCGCAATTCCTTAAACGATGTGTTCCTGTCTATGATTCTAAACATGTATGAGTTTTTCTATTGATCCCGAAATATGTTGAAGAATTTTGACGGGAGTTTTTAAGATTTGGGTACACAACAAACTTCATTGCCATATACATTACTAAAAAAAACGTTGATCCGTCCCTCGGAATACAGTATTTCGAAATGTTTCTATCGCACGGAGGAAAAATTGGAAAAGCCAACGTATGAAATGAAAAAGTTAAATTTTCCGAAGTTGTGTAATCTGTCGGCTTTTCTACACTCATGCAAAAGCAAGACGTGAAGCAAAACTCGTACTTATTTACACTGTACTCGCGAAAAATTTGCCATTGCAGAGCCATGACCGAGGCGACGTCTTGCTCGTATTTTGACTGTAGTATGAGCCATCAAAATTCTCGTGTCATGTACATCGTTTCCTCAAGGACATTTGCATCTCGGAAGATTTTTCATAATAGTTTCAACATCCTTTGATAGCTGAGGACTGCCCAAAATAATTCGTCAAGCATGCGATTGTGTCAGACAAACGTCATTTTCTTGTTGTAAACTTTCAAATCTCTGCCCTCGCTTTATTCCAAGATGGGTGAGCAAACATTCATTTAACGGCTAGGGAATTATAAAATTTTACTACGTTATACATAATACATGCCATTCTACATCCATTGTGAGACACGCGAAAACCATGAAAAATTATGAACCGATAACCCCTCATATTTGTTCAATTTTATTGAGAAGCATTGTTGCTCGAAGATTAATGAAACGACCATCAAATGTATTTTCTGCTCTCATAAGCTGACGAGAGATTCTTTTTCAACGTTTCGTTCATTCAGGTTTTACTTTTATTTTACATTCAAATGTCATGCGTCATGAACTCGTGCAGAATCGATGCGTTTTGCATATTTCATTCGCAACTTTTTGATCTCTCATCTCTTTCTCTCTCTCTCTCTCTCGTTTCAGAGACAAAGTTGTGAAGAAGATGATTGTTGAGCCGGAAGGCTTTCCAGTGGAGCAGACGCGAAGCAAGTTTATCTGCGCCCAGGGTAAACAGCTTTATTCTTCCCCCAGCGAAGCCTTGGCAGAAATTTTGTTTTCGCTTTTGCGTCAGCATGCCAAGTAGCCGAGAGCGCTGTAATATTTTATATTCCAAATTCTTCTTGACCCATTTATGCATTTCACTGCTGGACAGGGCTCGACGGTGACGAGGAAGGGAACGCGACGACTTGGGAATTCTCCGTCCCAGACAACGTGGTTCCGGACTCCGAACGCATGTTTGTTTTCGCTTCCGGAGATATTCTCGGCCCATCTCTTTCAGTGAGCTTGCATTTTCCTTCCTTCTTTGAAAATTTTTAAATTCTTTCAAGGATTGAAAATCAGTTTGCCACCGCCACAAGGGCCATTCCCGATGAGTGGAAAAATGTAACTGACAGCAACAAAAATAACCCTTAATGATGAGGAAATAATTATCCGCTTTGTGTGGCCCGTCTGAGGGAATATACATTTCCTGCGGTCCGGTGCAAACAGAGTTAGATACATATTTGTATTGATTGGCTGAATGCTTGAGATTTTCATTTAAAATAAACCTCGCAAAATTTCCGTGAACTTTGCAGCTGCGGTATAATTTCCTTAAATTATTTTCCGGACCAGCATTTCATGTTTTTGGATTCGACACTGGTCCGCGGATCACAAGTTGAGGAAGACTTATTTCGATGATGCCACCTTTTTCCAATGTTTAAAATTCATCCAGTATTCACCATTCTTTAGGCAATCTAAAATTCTGTCAATTCCTAACTGTAACTCTTTCGTCACGCTCGTTGATTTAATTCAATCAGAAACAGCATTGGAGAGCTGTGTTCAACGGAGGCTTGTGATTTTAGAATTATTGATCACAGATCTAAAGGCGGGGTCTTCCTGTTCAGTGTAGATCAAATTTCGTATGCGAAAAACAAACATACAAGACAAGACGAATGGGATTGAACAGAGTGCGGATGTACTTGTCGGGGATGTGGGTGTAATAAAACGTGACCAGGTTTCCGCCGACGATGGTGTAT